AATACCAAAGAAGGGGGGATATTTTGTGTCTTCAGGCCAGCAAAATCAAAAGGAAACTCAAAAGAAAATGTGAAAATCAGTATTCGAGCACCATTTTGCACCATATAAACTTTTGAAAACATATATTTTTAGTTTCGGGCAAAAGGCAAATTGGAAGGACTGAGAATAGTTTTAAGCCAGCAGTGTTCATTGCATTAGTTGCAGCAAATCTCAGACGCCTCCAGCGACACACGTTACTGTACAACCAATTGCCTACTGGGAGGTTATACTACGCACAGAATATCCATAGGGATGTTCTGTGTTTTCATCTTTGGTTAACCTATGTTTTTATGGTTAGAGGCTATGGTTAGGGTTTAACCCTTAGACAAGGAAAGAGAGTCCTCTCTTTCCTTGTCTAAGGTTTAACCATAAAACCTGTTGCTACTTGCAGCCGCTTGTACTTGTATTTATCTATGGTCAAGATAATATTGATAATAGTTTGTAGTGTGTAATCCAGATTTCCTGAGTGTTTCCTGCGGCATTTGGGAGTGGTTTCCGGCTCAATCTCCACTGACAACCACCCTTGTGCCATGACTTTCTACGACGAGCTTCAAAATGTCCCGGTAAGTGAACTATTGGACTCGTACAAGCTCCTTAAAATACCCGTCGATATTTCCAGATCAAAGAGCTGGCTCGGTTGCACAACGAACAGCTAATATCCGATGAGAGTTCCGACGAGTGCAGTGAGCCAGAAAACCTGCCGGTGTTTTCCCTAGAGCAGATCCACGCTCTTGTAGTCGATCATCTGCCCAGGAAAACGCAGCTTGGGGCTCCAGATGTATGTCGACGCGGGGCCCAGAAGTTATCAGAGCTACTACAAGTCACCTTTTGTCACGTTTGCGGCAAATTCTCTAGGAGGCACTATAGGAGTGCAGAACATCGCACAAATATTAGCCACTGGTTACGGGCTGAGCTGATGGTACAGTTGCAATTTGTCATCGGTTCGTTTTACTCAAGTTCGCATTTTCCAGACTAGTGATCCAAAAGTGACTGCCAAAGTGTATTGCGCTCCGTGCAACCTGGCCCTGAATCTGGACACCCCCGATGACCACTACAGCTGGGAAACCCATAAAAGGTATTACCAGAGATTAATTGAGAGATCGCCGATCCCGTGTTAAAAAAGTGTACAGGAGAGCAGCGTAGGAGAGGTAAATAGTGGGGATCGTGGGCATCTTACTTACATTTATTTCGCATATATCACTACAAGTCACCTGAAACTTTTCTGATAACCATTGGTGATAACGTTGCTATGAACGAAAATAATTTGGAAAATTCCATCATTTTTCGCTGATATCCCACAACGACTTTCTTTCATATATAAGACTTATTAGTTTTTCAACATCCATATCAATTTGGTGTGTCACAAAAATGTTCGCTATTCAGTCAGAAACACTGCGAACCTGCGAACAAATCCCATTTACATTTCCTAGTTCAAAAACTCTTTTGATATTTTTGTCCTCTATAACATGTTGAACCAGTTATAGTTTTTGCGCAAAAAAGTGATTTCTGTTCTTTTGGCAACTGAAAATTTTAGACATTCATTAAGTTTTTCATTAACAAAACATTCGCCAGGGCCAAATTTTGTTAAAAACTCGCATTTTCTTTTCGTGAGATTTTTTATGATCGCAATTTGGACGAACCCGCTTCCAAAAGACGACCGGGCCTAAAACTTTGACCATTTCGGTCAGTTAAAAAATATAAAACGCTTGACAGTTAATTTATTATAAAAACACATTATCACTTACTACGACTGTTGCAGTTAATGCCTGAAATTGGTAAATAGCAAGAAAACAAAAATCATTTTTTGGCGCAAAAACTATGAATGCTACAAGATTTTATAGAGCCCAAAAATGTTTCAAAC